TGACAGGAACTCATGCATCATGTGTGTTGGAAAAGAATCCACAAGGCTTGATTTTACTGGCTAGGATATAGTCAAGTGCTTAACCATCTGATCGGCAAGCTCCTTTTGGTGACCAGTTTGATCTTCCATATTTGATCTAAATTTGAATCTTGAACCTCGTTAAAAAAAAGCTGTTGGGAAAATGGGATCATGACTGGATTAAGACGATGGATTAAGGAATGAGGATGAACTTTCCAATGGAATAGGGGAAATATGTTACTTCAAACTGACATTATGTTTTCCTGTAATGATGTCATCTGCCTGTAATGAGGATATATTCCCATCTTGAGAATGTGCTTTCTGACGGTTGTTACTGTATACTGTAGCTTCAATGACCATGGGCATGACTGCCACTCAATGTGAATGAAACATTAGTAATATTTGAAGACGAGCAACCATGAGAAGTGGTTGCCCCAACATCAGCCCCGGGGAAGATGATGTCTTTGTCCCGTCTACAAAGGGCTACAATAATTCAGGAGCACGAACCTGGGTCTCTAGTTGTCAGGGAGATGGAGATATCTTTGATTTTGACGCTCGTAAGCTACAGATCTTAACGAGGCTCAATGGAGGACACCGGGAACCTGATAAAAGACTTGATGATGTTAGGAAGTCAAGGTAAGAAAGGGCTGTGTTTGTAAAGGGGGTCCCAATTGAAAATTTAGGGTCTGTACACATGAGCCCCGTATTAAAGGTAATACAAAGTTTTGGAAGAGGGTCATGAATTTGGTTCAAATGAACATATTGGAAGTACATGCGATCCTACAATATTCAGTGATCGTTTTCGCGGTTGAAATCAAGCCTAAAGTTATGAAATTGTAAATAATAAACTCTTTATGTTGTATAGCTCCCTCTCAAGGTCAAATATTAATTAAGCTTTAAAACAATGTTTTTTTTTACAATAATTGACCGATTTTCTAATTCCGTTTGGAAATTATATAATTATCACAACTACATATTCTGAGATTTTCATGATCGCAGCTACCGTTGTATGGCCGTAGGCGCTAATTGAAATTTATCAAAATTTACCGGGAGCACCGGTAAAATCTTATATTCAATTTTTCTCTAAAGCAGAAGTGTTTTAGGGGCTAAATTTTCCAGTACTTATAATACATCCACAGGGGCATCCAAATATATCAAATATGTAAAGAATTACTATCCACCCAATTTTCAAAATTTCCCAAAACTTTGTATTACCTTTAATATGTTTGATTTATGGGGGGGGGGGGGGGTGGAGTACAGAGTAAGACTGGTTGGGTCCGTGTGTTTCGGCACCTGTCATTGTCAGGTCTGATGTAGGCTCATACAGTATGTACAAAAACGTTGAACATTATGATTCAAACTCCTCCTGGCTTTCAGCAGGTAGCAATAGTAATATGTATGTGTTTAAAAAAAAAAAAAATTATTGGGGGGGGGGGGGGGGGGGGAGTCCTCCACCACAGATAGTAACAATGTAACGATGCCAAATGTATCTATAATTGACACCTTTTGTTCAATTGCACCTGATATTCTTGGTCATGTATGTACATTATATTTAGCTAGAAAACTCCAATGAGTTAGTGGATATCGAAGCAGTTATAACAAAAACACATTTAACACTTGTTTAGGTTTACAATATGACAGACAAGGAATACATCATTTTGCAGACACCTGATAGTCTCCAGTTTGTGATTAATGCTGGTATTTAAACTGTGTTAACAAATTTAATAGAATTTGTAATTCTAGTTGGTCTTCACTTAAAAAAGGTATTTTAGTTAATTAATAAAACATGTAATAACTTTGAGTTTAAAGTCATTGTGGTGAAATATTTTTAATATTTTTATACTCTTCTAGGTTCTTAATCTGATCTAATTGATTTTTTCTGGATATTCCAGAGTGAGGCAGGGGGAATTTTTTTTCAGGAATTATTGTTATTCAATGTGCTGTCTTCATTTCTGATGATTGAAATCATGAATTTTCTTTCATCCACTGATTAAAAAAAGCAATTGAATCTTTAGACCGCAAGGAACGTTGACATTTTCTCATCTTAGATATGATCATGAAATTGATTTTCAAGTGGAATTCTTTCTTTTCTAATATCGTCTTGTCCAAGTAGGATCATCCCCTCTCAGATAATTACCTGATTAAAATCAGTTTCCCAATTTTCTTTTTTTTTTCCCTGATTTTTTTTATATTTCTCTTTTTTACAGAATTTGTTTTTCTTCCTGATTTTATCCAGATTTTCCCCTTATTTTCTCTATTCTTCCCTATTTTTTTCCAAATTATCTTACTCAAAAGGGGGGAATGTTGTTCGGTGCCATTCCCCCCGAATCCTCTTCTTTTTTTTTTACTCAAGGGGAGGGGGGGGGGCGTGGTTGAGGGGGGGGGGGAAAGTGCTCACTCTCACCCCTTCTCTTTTCTTCAAGCCACCTTTGTCATGTACCGGTACCTTTTTATATTCATGTATCATCTCGCTTTCATCTCACCCTCCCTCTCAATCTCTGTCCCTCTGTAAAGTTCTCTTTTTCCTTTTCTATTTCATTCCCACCCCCTCCCTCCCTCCACCTCTGCCCCCATCCTCCATCCAACATCTCCTCATTCTGCCTACCCCCTCTCTGTTTTTCTCACTTTTTGTCCATTCCACTCTTCATTTATTGCCCTCCTAGTCCTAGCTATTGGATATTCTTGTATTTGCCCTCTAGTTCATCCTTTTCCTTTTCACTCTTTTTCCCTCCCCCTGTCTGTCTCTGTCTGTCTGTCTCTCTCTCTCTTTCTCTCTCTCTCTCTGTCTCTCTCTGTCTCTCTCTCTCTGTTTCTCTCTGTCTCTCTCTCTCTCTGTCTCTCTCCCTCCCTCCCTCCCTCCCTCCCTCCCTCCCTCCCTCCCTCCCTCCCTCCCTCCCTCCCTCCCTCCCTCTCCCCCTTTCTCCCTTGCGCTCCCTTCCTATCAATGCTGCATATCAGTGTGTATGTGTAGGTCATTTAAATTGGGACACTCTGAATACCAGAATAAATCTGACAACAATTAATATCTGTTTTGACGGGTTTCCTTTCCCTGCACTTAATGCAGGAAATCAGACAAGGAAACAAACTCTTGTTTGACCTTAGATTTTAAAAGGTTCATGGATTATTTAAAGATAGTATACTACAATTTAACACCCACCCAACATCAAAATGGTTTGAATAAAATTTGATATTAAAATGAGATGCCAGTGGAAATCTGTTAATTCAATCACGGAAAATCAACATTCTGAATATCGAAGTCAAGATCATATATTAGCAACATTGTGTTTTCATTTCTTCACTTAAAATGTCACCCTCTCGATTGGAGATGAGGGTGTAGGTCTATTTCGGCATTAACAGTATTATCTTTCAAAGGATTCATGTACAATATACTTCATGGTGGGATGACATGTACATGATGATATAATTTTTTGATGACAAAATAAATGTGTACACCTTCTTTTCATTTGTTGATTCTTTAACAAGAATAATCTGCACATGAAATCAATGTGTTGCTTTGTTTTATGATATTTTCAGTTTTATGACATAAGACTATTTCAAAATTCTCTTAAATTTAATCAGATTAAAAATAAAATTAATACTTTGTCCTACCTGTTTTTTTTTTTCGATTTGGCCCCTTATATAGGGAATATGATATTATGGTTGACTTCCCCTTTAATCCACTTTAATAAAGGTTTTTGAAGAATGGTTTAGTTATAGGTTAATACCCAAACCACAAATTATGTGAATGCACTTTTTATGGTTTGCACAAACAATGTGTTAGGATATGTTACTTTCATACCTGGGAGTATGGAACCCACGTGTAGATACCAATGGCTATGCTACAGGGTGTACATGATGTTTTCAACTCACTTCTTGCATGATGTACTAGTGAAGCAGTAAAAATTATGATAATTTTAACTTTGTATACGCCTAATAACTAAAATTGAATTCCTTATGCGCTTTAAATCATAATATATAATACAGAAAAATATAAACACTACTGTAAGAAAGATAGGTCTAGTTACCTACATGTACTAGGCCTAGTATGGCACTAGGTTTTTATGAATATATGGACCCAGCTAACGAATTACCAAAAATGGACAACGTTTTCTCCAAATGATACAATAAAAGAATAGAAAACAAAGAATTGCATACTCTTGGGTATACAATAAGTATATCTGATGTTGTTGTTGTATTGTTTTTTTTTTCTTTTTTCCCCGAGATGATTTGTTTTTATGCAGCGATTAATATTGTTTTTGAACATTTTGTATTAAACAAAGAAATCTAAATGATACATAATTTTCAAGAACATTTGATATTTTTCAAATTTATTATTTAAAAAAAAAAAAAATTTGTATATCAGTGCTGTAATAGTTTGTGGATTTCATTAAAAGAATTGATCTGTATCTTGGTTAATTTTCTCTTCAATTGATTGATTGATTTGGTAAATGAGTGAGTGGGTGGATGAGTGAGAGAAGGAGGGTGTGTGTGTGTGTGTGTGTGTGTGTGTGAGTGAGTTAGTGAGTGCGTATTGTGAGTTTGTTTGAGTGTGTGTGTGTGTTTGTGAGTGAGTGAGTTAGTGCTTGCTTACATGCCTTGCCGATTGAGCTGGAGTAAAATGTTAGATCGATGACTGGAAGATGTGTAGATGAAGAGAAAGATAGCTGTACATGGCTTTGTATATTCAGTATATGAAGGATGAATTGTTTGATGGCTAGTATAAAACTGGTTGGCAAATGGGAAGAAATGTAGTATTGGTAGAAAAAGATTGTAAAGAAAAGCTTTAAGATTTTTTTATCAGTAGATGAATGATGTTGTGTTTACCACATCACAAGAGTCTAAGCACAAAACTTTTATATATTTAGTTGCAGTCGTCTCTCCCCTCACTTAATAACAAACAAACTACAATATCACCATCAGTAAAAGAAATTTTCTACCCTCTATAAATGTATTATTATTATAATTTTTTGTTGTTGTTGTAGCATTGACGACCTGCTCATCGCCAGACATGATCCTGAAGAGATCCTACTCAACCTCGGGTTCGGTGGGTCCCCAGAGACCGACGTCCTGGATCGCATCCCTTCAAGGTTCCTACAGAAACAGTCTCAAGCTAGGGGCATCTCTACTCATCAGTTCCTATCCCAGATGGATGAGCTGGAGAGAGGATGTGGTGAGGACATATTTTATTTAAAAAATTACTGTAGTATGAGGTAGTTGGGTAATGATGATGGAGAAAGGAAATAAGCGCATACGTTTGAGGGTTTAGAAAAAAAACAAAATAAAACATATGAGTGATTTTTTTCTCCAAAAAAAGGAAATTGGCCAAGATTGAAATGTCTAGTGGTTTGGAGAATGACCCATTAGCCATTGCAGTCGATCATGTGGGATTATGCATAGAGTGTCTCCTTTTGTAGTTACCGGTATGTACAAAAATATTCACACCCTTAACTTTCATGATAAACATTCCAATAGATGATGAGAAGCACATATGCTCCCATGACTATCTGTTTCTTTCCATAAAAATTGTAAATGGACAGACATTAATAATTTGATATGCTCTCAATTTCAATAAAACCGTTGGGTGAAAGCAAAGCAAATCAGGCTGTGAATGCTCAATTTCCAACCAACAGCAGTAATTTGAATTCCTTCGATATCTGATATGTTATGCAACTAATCAGGCCTGATAATTACCAGATTTTTTCCAGATCCCCCCCCCCCCCAATTTTTTTTTTCTCCAATTATTTTCCAATTTTCTTACTCGAAAGGGGGGGGGGGGAGAGAACGTTGTAAGATGCCATTTTTATGCCTCCGCCACCGAAGGTGGTGCCGGAGGCATCATGTTTTCGGGTTGTCCGTCCGTACGTCCGTCCCGTTTGACCGTTATCACAATATCTCAAGAACCATTTAAGATTTAAACTTAAGACTCGGGAATAGTATTTATCGCCATAGGAAGACGATCTGATTAGATTTTGGAGTACGTAGGTCAAAGGTCACAGGTCACAGAGGTCAACTTATGAAATTCCTTGTATTGAGTTTGTTAGCGCGATATCTCAAGAACCATTTGAGATTTAAACTTCAAACTTAAGGATAGTATGTATCACCATAGTAAGACGATCTGATTAGATTTTGGAGCACGTATGTCAAAGGTCAAGGGTCACAGAGGTCAACTTATGAAATTCCATACATTGAGATTGTTATCATGATATCTCAAGAACCACTGGAGATTTAAACTTCAAACTTAGTGATAGTGTGTATCACTATAGGAAAACAATCTGATTAGATTTTGGAGCACGTATGTCAAAGGTCAAGGGTCACAGAGGTCAACTTATGAAATTCCATACATTGAGATTGTTATCATGATATCTCAAGAACCACTGGAGATTTAAACTTCAAACTTAGTGATAGTGTGTATCACTATAGGAAAACAATCTGATTAGATTTTGGAGCACGTAGGTCAAAGGTCAAGGGTCACAGAGGTCAACTTATGAAATTCCATACATTGAGATTGTTATCATGATATCTCAAGAACCACTGGAGATGTAAAAACTTCAAACTTAATGATAGTGTGTATCACCATAGGAAGACAATCTGATTAGATTTTGGAGCACGTAGGTCAAAGGTCAAAGGCCACAGCGCACATTATGAATGCAAAAACAGCTTGTGATCGCGTTATCTCAAGAACCGATTGATGGATTCATGCCAAAATTAGGTCATGTTTGTTACTTGCAGAGCCAATGAACTGAGTAGATTCTTGGTTCATAAGGTCAAAGGTCAAAGGTCATGGGCCCATTATGTATGCAAAACTAGCTTGTGAACGCATTCTCATTAGAACTGACAGATGGATTACTATTTAACTCAGAACATCTTGCAGAGCCAATGAACTGAGTAGATTTTATGGTCATGAGGTCAAAGATCAAAGGGTCATATATGTATATGAGAAATTGCTTGTAATCACAATATTCTGAGAACCTGTCAATGGATTACCATTGAACGTGAATTCAATTTTTTTTTTCTGTTTTGGTTTGTAAAATTGCTCTATAACGGAGGGATCATTTTCGACTGCGCGCAGTCGAATTCCATCTAGTTTTTCCCTGAATCCTTTTTTTTCTTCTCTAATGTATCAAAATAATACCTATATACATTTTCTTCTCAATATGTCTGCTTACCTTTCAGGATTCAGTCTGGTAGGTGGTCTTAGAAGCCTGGGTTCTGCTCTGCGTAGATCATCTAGGATGTCTCTCTCCCCTACTCCTCCAAATATTACCAACAAATCCGTCAAGGTCGCTTCAGAACCCCAACAGAAAGAGCCTGTAAAGACAGAGCCACACAATGTGCTTCCAGATGACTTGAACCACAATGTGGAGACAGCAGTAAAGAGCATAGAGGTCATTGCTGAAACAGGTCGCAGGGTTAAAGGTCATCGCAAACTGGTTCAGCAATCCCGCGTTGGTGACATTGTACTGACACCAGTGGTAGAATCACATCAGGTTTGTTGTGAAACATTACGAAGTGAAGGTCAAAGGGTGGAGGTCGTAACGGGCTCAAGGAGGGACGTCATGCCCCATAGATCTGCATCAGATAGGCATAATCCAAGCACCACACTCAAGTTGCAGAGTGGAAGTGCCAAACTGGATAAGAGAACAGAGAGAGAAGTAGGCGATGAGCCAAGTGAGGCGCGTAGTCCTGTGAGAGAGTTCAACCAGGAGAAAGGGTCAGTTCTTAAGCCAAGGATCTCACAACTCAGTAACACACATTCAGGAGCAGCCACTGGTCGTGGTCTTCAGTCAAGGGAAGACTCGTTTGAGTTTGAAGAGGTAAGAACCAAGAAGTTTAGCTTTTTAATCAAGATAAATAGAGGGTAGTATACAGGGTTTGTTTATTCATTTGAAAGAGGAGTATTTTAAATCAGAACATTAAATCAAATTTGATTTAAACATAAGAAGATTGTATCAGAGTTTCTCTTGTAATTTCTCTTGTAATAATTTTGGTAGTATTTTCCCTGAGTATATTTTACACATCCAGTCTCAGGAAATCATTGACCATTGTTGTCGTTTTCATTAATTTATGAACATTTACTGTCCTTGCTTCGATACAACCCATGCTATTCATAGGCAAAAATTAACAATATAATGATGACCTAAAATAAGATTTATTCTGGCAGGTACAGTCAGGCCATCACAAGGACCGTGTTTGTAGTGAGAATAGTGTAGGAGAGGGAGGGGGAGGGGGAGGGGAACGGGGTACATTTGTGTATCTTATTGCACATAGATTTGTAGGACAATTTGTATTGTGGCATGTGTGAATGGGTCTTAAATGGGTCTTTCCTTCTCATTTATTTATTATTGTTAATTAGAGTAATGCACAATAAGTTGTTATATGTGAATTGATGTACATCTGTGCCTGTACAGGATCACTTGTAAGTAGTTTGACAAGTTTAGTTTAAAATTTAAAAAAAAAAATTCAATCACTGAAATTCATGTTTGTAATTAATGCTCCTCTGAATGTTTCTCGTTACTTGAACTTTCCTTTCCTTCAAATGAATGTCAAAACCTTCAAGCACTGTGAGATGAATCAGATAAACGTTACATATTCTCTGCATAGAAAACCTTGTATTCATAGCCTTGAAAACCCCACACACAGTTGATGGGTAGATTAATCTGATGACAAAATAGGCAATTCAGGATCATATTCACCATCTAGACTACAATGCACAAGCATATATGTGAATGTGCATTAAAAAACAGGTCATAATAATTGCTTTGCCTCTCTGAATGTAAGGTTTACCATCAATTTGTTTGATTTAAGAGCATGATAATGGAGAAATAAAGATTCATACTGTAGTTATCAGTAGCAGTTAGAAGTTCAATTAATGATTCCATCAGTTAAATATGGATGAATTGTGAAACAGGCCAAGGCAGATCAGATAAGAAGAAAAGGATATGCTTCATTGACGTCAATTAGGGATTGTCATGGTAACCAGGGATTTTCTCAAATCTTGTCTTGATATGAGACAAAGTATTGGGTTATTATTCTGTCCAATGCAGGTGACAGAAACAGACATTTTCTGCTTTGGGAGCAAATTGTATAGATACATTTGTTGAGGTGAATTTCAAATGTGTTAAGTAGAAATTTACCGGAGGAAAGTATATCTGTAACATATCTAACCTTTGAAATTTGGAACAAATAAAATGGTTTGTTCATTCAAAGTATAGGCAGGGATCAACACCTACAGGTCCAAGGGATATATGGGCAACCAAAATGAAGTTTTTAGAGGTTGAAATTATATATTCTATCTGTATACAAATTATTTTTGTTAGGTGACTGTTACATTTTAAAAGTTAAAGTGTTAAGGTTGAGATTGAAGTTGAGCTCCAGGTTAGGTTTAGGGAAAGTGTTAAGAGTAAGGACTATGTTGAGTGTTGGGTATAGGAATTAAGTTCAGAATTGAGGCAGTTTACAATATTGAACATGGAGTCATGTTTTTCTGAAGTGATGTGATGTTTTACCACCAAATGACATCAGTTTATCCACATTTATGCAATAACTCTTTTCAGTGTAACAGTGTTTAACCAATAAGGCATGCCATCTAGCCCTAAACCTTCAAGAATGCCCGATATTCAACATTATCAAGACTGTAGTAAAAAAAATAATCTTGAAACACTTGATAATTTTTCTCTTTCCTCTCCATCCATCTTTGACAGCTGTCTAGTGAGGAGAGACTTGAAGATGCTAATGGGGCTATTCATACTGGTGAAGCTGCTCTGAATAACCAAGGTAACTGGGCTATACCAAGAAAAGCAATGAAAGAGAGGGGCAGAGGGGGAGGGGGATGGGGAGGGGGAGGGGAGGGGAGGGTAGGGTAGGGGAGGGGAGGGGGAGGGGGAGGGGGAGGGGGAGGGGGAGGGGGAGGGGGAGGGGGAGGGGGAGGGGAAGGGGAAGGGGAGTGGAGGGGAGGGGAGGAGGAGGAGGGGACGGGACGGGAGGGGGAGGGGAGGGGGAGGGGGAGGGGAGTGGAGGGGAGGGGAGGAGTAGGGGAGGGGAGGGGGAGGGGAAGGGGGAGGGGGATGGGGAAGGAGGAGAGGGAGGGGGATAGGGGAGGAGGAGAAGGGGAAGCAAAGAAGAAGAACTGTGTTCTCTTTGTCTCTTTCAATCTTTCTAAATTAAGATAGATCATTCATTAATTCTCATACCTTCTTCCTTCTCGTGTATTGGGTGTTGTCTGTATCCATATTGTGTTTTAACATGTGTAGCATAGCCTGACCTGAACATTTTTATAATTTATATATTATTTATTGTGGAATTGTTTATGTTGATTATTTCAATGCTACTACAACATGCTAAACACATTTTACTGAGTATTACAAGAGACATTAATTGAGTAGTACCTCTTTCTCTTTTCTCAGGAAATTTGAGCCGTAGTGATAGCACTCAATCAGATAGTAGTGGTTTTGCAGATGAGAACATTGGATGCAACGAGATGGACTCACCCAAGAGCACTTCCGATGACAACACTACCATTACCTCAGATTCCAAGATTACCCAGACAAGTTTTGATGCCAATACCATAGAGCTCTTGGACTCTGGTACTGCTACCTCACATAAGATTACTGCACTAACACTGAGCCAGGAATCATCGCAAAGTCTTCCTTCTGTAACCTCTCTGGAGGATTCCCCCTTTGATGATGCAATAGTGGTGACAGAATTACCTACAAGCAACTCACAGCGCACAAGACGTTGTACATACCCTGCAACACTTGACAGGAGAGTGGAAGAATCAGGACCAAAAACTGTCGTCGAGATTTTGTCTTCCCTGCACACAACCTCTAAAGAACTTGGTAAGGAGGATAGCAAGCAAGGTTTGCCTGGGCCAACCAGGCGGAAGCCTCCCAAATTGATGAAAATGAAAAGTGTGGATCCAGAAGGGTATGGGTTTAAATGTACGGTTGAAAGTAGAGGGGTCCAAACTCAAGTGGAAGCCACTGTGAATGCGTTACATGAACGAAGTTGTGAGGTTTTACATGAAGTAGATGAAGATATCCTCGGTCAAGATGGGTTGTCCGATGGAAATGTTGATCATGAAACCAAAGACGATAGACCTGTGCAATCTGTAGAGGAGTATTCCATTCCTGATGGACCATGCGCGCAACATGTGGTTGAAAAATGTAGTGCTGCCATTGAGAAAAATTGTGAAGAAGTGTGTGAGGGGTCTGAAGCTGCACCCATTGAATCCAAAATCATTCCAATCTGCAGGAGCCATGAGGCACATGAACGTCTTTCGATAGTACCCTCTCATTCCACAGAGTGTCTCCCAGTAAAGTCTGAACAAACTTCTGAAAATGAACACCAAGTAAGGTGTGATAACATAGAAATAAATCCTGCAATACCAGTTGTAAGTGAATCTAACATTGTGCAGCTTAGTAGCCAAGTAACAAACAAATCTTTATCAGAGAATCTATCTACTTGTATAAAAGAGAATATATCTAGTATTGAACATCGTAGCTGTGATGGAGCCATTGTGGATGGTGAGGAAAAAGGATGTTGGATAGAACGGACTCTGTCTGAAATCAACCTATGTGAAATCAGTAGTCAGACATCTAGCACAGTGACAGATGACGTTGGTACGTCTTTAATCAAGTGCCAATGGGAAAGGAAACTGCCATTTAGTGTGTACAGCTCAAGTGAATTTGAAGTAGAAGATTATGAAATAAATAGGGAACTAGATTTAAATGAAATGCTAAAAAATAAGATCCTTGATCAGCAGAAAGATGTGGAGGAAGTAATTCACCCAGTCGAGAACGAGGTGTTTAAAACATCAAGTACTTTTGAGACATCGGCAATAAGTGTGGTTGCATCAAATGAAGTTTCATCTGTAGAAGACATCAGACATCACAGTGCTTCCTCGGGGGAGACTGAACAGCCAATCACAACTCAGGATACTAAATCACATGATACCATGCTGCCAACAGAATCTGCAGAGCCATCCTTTGCATTGTCAGAGCACTTGCCTCACTTTGACGACACACATCCTTCCACAGCTCAAAGCACTGCCCCTCTAGATCTAGTCACATCATCTGCACCAAACCCCTCCCAAGACGCAGTGTCAGATGGGAGATCTGAAAACCTTGAGGCCACATCTTCTGAGGTCAAGGAAGGTGCTGTAGATGTCCCTAAAGTACCTCAACAGTCGTTTCTAGAAGATGCGTCGCAACCGCTCTCGGATTGTTCCAAGGACACAAGGATAGAGATGATCAGCAAAGAGGAACACTGTAAAGCTAGAGAAGAACTCAAAGCACTTCTATCAACTCAGGTAAGATGGTGAACCCGAAGTAAGACACTCACTTAAAATTGAAGAATCGGGAAGGGTCAGAATCATGTTATTATTTGAATGTATTCAAATTCTATGCATGTATTAGCAGTGCCAATGTTGATCTTCAAGGTTGTCATGGACTTGCCCAACACAGCAGCAAGTAATGTAATGTAAGGGGAAATGCATTCTGACTTCTGACTGTTAAAATCAATATCTCAACATGTTCTTGGGGAAGGAGCATCCGTAAATTGAAAATATTTGTGCAGGGGTATGTTTTTGTGTGTTTTTCTTACCAATCTTTTTTTTTGCAGAGAATTTCCTGCTTTAGTGAAAGACTCCTTATGAGCAATGTTAAAAGTAAAGGAGGTATGGATCTTCCACTTCAATTACTTCTTTTAAGGTCCTTTAATGAACTAGATAATTTGTGAATTTTACCTTCAAAGGCCTCTTACATCATGCCTGATATTGATCTAGGTGTTTGTAAAATTGTCTATGAAGTTATTGATTTTCAGTTATTTCACAGAATGTCTGTACTGTAAAATCTGTACCTTTCTCTTTTGTTTCCAGGATTATCCATCATCATCACCATTGAAATCAGCTAGATCAGCCAACCATGACGTGAGTACTTTTATATTTTTTATTTTTGATTAATTTCTTTGCATTTAAAGTATTATATATGAAAGTGTACTCACTACTATAGTAATGATGATATGCAGTATAGTCTTAATTTAAAAAAAAAAAAAAAATGAAATGCCGAAGATGTATAAATCAACGTGAAAATGAAACAAGTATGAAATGTTGTTATACGATGGCTACCGCACTACATAAACCTATAAATCAGTAAATTCCTCATATTTAAAACTTCATTTTCTTCCAAGTCCTGTCTTCTCTTGTTTCAATATGTACATGTCGAGGGTTCAGTGACACAAAAGTGTAACTCCATATTTTGCCAAAATGAGTATTTGATATCAAAATGTTCAAAAAAATGTGGGCTTTCCAGGAAACACAAAGACTTAACTCCACCCAACACCCCATTGAAGTCAATGGCTAGTGAAACATAGACTTACTTCCTTAAGGCCTAAGTGCTCAGTGACACATAAACCACTTTTTTTTTAAAAACGGCCAAAATGGAGTTACGTCTTTGTGTCACTGACCCCTCAATGTAATATTGTTGTTCCATTCGATGACCTTTGACAGGAGGCTGTTGAGGATCTAAAGCTCCTCCAGAGGGCACTAGGAAGGTACGACCGAGATCTTGAAGAGCTGGAATCGTGGTCTTCAAAACTCTTCCAAGAAGTTGGATTTGCTTTAAGCCCAGAAGAAAGGTTCGTACTCTTCTCTAATTATGTATCTAGTCACTGAATGAATAAATTCAGTTATTTTATATCCAAATAAAGAAAATAAAAATGAGCATTGCTGAGCGCACTATTCAGAATATATAAATTGTAGCTGAGTGTGAAATGAAGTAACTTCTAAAATTTTGTGGATTTTTTTCAGGTTATGTTGCTTCATCCAGAGCTAGCGATTCAGAATCTTGAAAAACTGACTATAACAATTGTATCCAATTCTAAAGACAGCACAATACAAAAAACAGAGCTAATGTACATGTATCTTCTAGGAACCTTGTCACAATCCAGTTCTTATCAACTTCATCAAAATTTATATTGCTGATCGAAGTGTTCTAGTTTTGGTAAGTACTTCTTATTGATCTGGACATGTTTGAACTATGATGCAGAACCATAACTATGAACTTATCATTTGATCTTTTTCCATTTTAGATCTGACTTACAAAGCTTGTCATCTGTTCGTCACAAGATCAAGGATGAGATTCAAAGTCTTGAAAAGAATCTTTTGGAGAAATTCCAGGCAGTGATCTCCAGGGATACGGTATGACTTTTTTTTATATCTTAGTCATATTCAGTCTTCTTATTTTTATGATTCCTGTAATCATTCATATCATCATTGCACCACTAACACTACCGCCTGCATCATCGATGTGCTTATCATATTTAGGGGATCGACAACAAGTGACCCAATTCAAAGGAGCCAAGTCGCATCCATCAACCATCAAATTAGGTGTGCCACAAGGTTCAATTCTTGGTCCCCTTTTATTTTCAATATATGTTAATAGTCTACCTGAATGTACTCCTGAAGGTACCATAGATATGTATGCTGACGATACGACACTTACCGTCAGTGCAAATGATGCAACTGTTGTGGAAGAAAAATTAACTGTTGCGTTAAACAGAGTCATGGCATGGATTAAGGAAAATCGTCTTGTTCTTAACACTGAAAAAACTTGTGTCATGTTAATAGGCTCTCCTGCTAATCTCAAGAAAATTGAATCTTTCACCATTTCATTAAACGGCAATTTGATCAAAAGAGTTCAATTCACCAAATGCCTAGGACTTTTGATAGATGAAGAATTGAAATGGTCTAAACAAATCGAAAACGTAAGTAAACTTACCCAGAAAAACATTAGCATGATAAAGAGAGCAAAGAGTTTTTTGCCTCAAAAATCCTTAAAGTTACTTTATAACAGTCTAGTGTTGCCACGATTAGATTACTGCTCTGTTGTATGGTCGAACCGATTTCATTCTCATACAACTAAGCTGCAAAAAATTCAAAAGAGGGCCGCAAGAATAATATTGAACAAGACATATGACACACCGTCGGCTGATTTGTTCACAAGTCTTAAATGGATGACACTAGACAAGCGGTTTGAGTTAAGTCGCGTTATGATGATATATAAATGCGTTCATAACTTAGCACCCTCTTACCTTCAGGTAGGCTTAATCAATCCTAATGATGTACATGCGCATCATACAAGGCAAGTAGACAGTGGATGTTTACGTGTGCCTAGATTTCACACTGATTGTTATAAGTGTAGCCCAATAGTTTCTTCCATATTTGAATGGAATAAGCTAGATAATTCGTTGAGAACGGCTTCCTCTGTCAATTCATTTAAGAGATTGTTTAAACAAAGTTGTAATTTGTGAATGGCTCAGCCGTACATACACTACGTGCATGTTCTGTAATATTTACATGTCTTATTCACATAATTGCGACTTAATTAATATTTTCCTATTGACATTACTGCTTACTAGGTTAATGATATATGTTAATTTTGCAAACGAGTATTATTTTTGTAACTGTTCTGTATAAATGTTATAAACGATGTAAATATGTTCATTCAGGGCCCCATGGAAGACCACTACTTGCTGGTGAATGGGCTACCCTGTCAAAAGATCAGAAATAAATAAATAAATAAATAAATAAATAAATCATCATCATTGCATTATACCACCATCATCACCATCATCATCATCATTATCATCATTATCATCATCATCATAATCAACATCATCATCGTCATCAACATCATCGTCATCATCATCATCATCATCATCATCATAATCAACATCATCATCGTCATCAACATCATCGTCATCAACATCATCGTCATTATCATCATTATCATCATCATCATAATCAACATCATCATCGTCATCAACATCATCGTCATCATTCTTATCATCATCATCATCGTCATCATCTTATCATCTTATCATCTTATCATCATCTTATCATCATCATCATCATCATCATCATCATCATCATCATCATCATCATCATTCTCATCATCATTATCATCATTATCATCATCATCATCATCATCATCATCATCATCATCATCATCATCATCATCATCATTATCATTCCTGCTAACAATTTGAATTGCTTAGAATCTTTAGTTTTTTTATCAGTAGCATCTGAATTATGAGTTCATTATGTTTCTATCATGTTGAATAAGAGTATTTGATGGTGTATTTTGTTTTGATCACAGGAGCATGAAACTAAAGAGGAGTCTTTGTGGTCACCTGGCCTGTCTCAAGTCATGTGTCAGATGGTAGATTTACTCAAAGAGCAGACATCCCTGCGTAGCTTCCTGGATGATCTCCAAGCCCTGGAGTACAGCACCTCGCCCATTCCTGCCTGGTCTGCAAGAGCATCATCACCAAAGCGCAGGAATCTCCTGGCCGATGCCACCCACGGTGGCTCGGTGGATGAAAGCGATGACGGGAATCGCTCGGAAGGAGAGGCAGACCTGACTGATGAGGTCGCTTCCGCCTGCGGTGACCTTCCATTCCCTCAAACCCTGAGCCAGGGGGAGTTGATCGAGGAGCTGCAGAAAGCACAGAGTGACCTGAAGAAGATGAAAGCTCAAGCCAAGCAAGATGTTGTCATGGCAGTCAGAGAGGTAAGGATCAATCACTGTCATTTTCTGCTTCATTGCTTCTAAATGCATAGACTCTCATCTGGCTTGTTGTTATCATTCTCTCTCATGTTCTACTCGAGATAATAAATCTGTATAATGATACCTTACTCTAATGTAACACATAAATCTTTATGGACTATCTTTTTATGATTTTAAAGTTTCATATGATCAATCTCTGATACTCTTATTGAGTAAGAGAAATAGAAATATAAGCTCTGCAACTGTCTTTTGTTTAAAAATGAAATATGGAATGTGCAGAAATATTGAGGGAGCTAATTGTGGTCTCTATAATCGCTGCTTATTAGAAAACCATTAAATTAATACATTTAATTTATACATTAAGGATCTCAGAAAATGACCAAAAAAGGAAAGCAATTGGAGGCATTTCACCACTTCAACTTCATCGTTAAACCTAGAGATCAGCTTCTATTAAATTACAACAAAGAAGCCTAGAAAAGACTTTAAATGCATGAAGTTATGTTTACATTTTTGCAAATACAATCAATTATTTGTTTGACCATGTCTATCATCAGCAAGCACTAACAACATGTTTTCATATGATTGTACATTTCATCTTTCCAGGTTTATGGGAATCCATTAATTTTAGTCTTTCCTTAGATTCATGGTATTTCATTGAATTACAAGATAATTGATTATACATGTAGTTCTCTAATCTCTTTACTAATGCCATATTACAGTTTTTATCTAACATGCATTCATTTAATTTCTTTTGTTGTATGTTGAATTGAAATAGCCTGTCCCTTTTAATAGGTGAAATATTTGAGTTACTTGAAGGCATGTATATAATTTTCCTTTAAGATTTTTGAAGCAGCCAACTACTAGAATTTGACATTTTCAAGGAAATATCTTCTAACTGAATGGATCAGCTTTAGAATTCTATGATGTTTATTCACAATGCATGTTTATGATTTGGGTACTGGGTTGTTCCATTGTTCCTCTAGGTGAGACAGTCTATCCTGTCTGAAGTGAGGAGGGAAATTCATATGGAATCCCAATTGTTGCAAGTTCAGATGCAGGTATAAAGTTTGTTTTCATTTGGATTTGGTTTTGATTTATTTGTCCCCCCATACAAAAAAAGAAACCCAACATTCACTGTATTTGCATGGTAAAGTTCTCCTGTGTGTTCATGTCTCCATTATTTCATCAGCTAATATTAATAATTTTTTAGTAATTTTGAATGAACCTTATCATGACTTGGTTCATGTATTTCAGCATGAATTGAAACGAGACATCATACATAACTCATTCATTAACCCATCCACACGTATAGTCAGATGTGCAGAGTTGTAAAGGTTGTCTCCTTGTAATGTAGATTATATGTTGTGCCTAACAAGTAAGCATTTATCATGCAAATAATGTACTTTGTTGACTGCATGTACTGTACACTAAATGTTTGTGGTTTCTCCAATGTTATTCTTTTGTCTTGTAGGTATTTTGGAAATAAATTCATATCCTTCTGCTGACTTGAAGAGCCTAACCTCATATCAATATATTCCAAATGTGGATGTGTCCATGGTTTTTTTCAAACCAGTGATTTGGGAAAGAATTGATACGTACCTCACTAAATATGACCGAACGACACATTTTAAAATCAGGATTGTGGTAGCAAAACAACCCCCTATGAAATCAGATTAATTTAGACCGTGTATGTATAGGCATATTGGATGACACTGTCGATATCACTCAATACTTCTTTTCTGGCACTTCAGGTTCTTTATAAAAAGTCATAGATTCTGTTAACAATTTTTGAATTTCCTTTTTTTCTTTGAGGACAAATGTTATATATTCTTTTTAAAGCCCAAGTCCACTCCAAAAATAACTTACTTTCAATAGAACCAGAAAAATCAGACAAACCAATCAAAAAAAAGTTTGAGCAAAATCGGATAACTAATAAGAAAGTTATGAATTTGTAATGACATTAAAAACTTTGAAAATCCCTACACAAATTGGCAACTCACTCATGAGTCTGTGATGTATGGTCCTCACTATCCACTGATTATTTTCTTTATATTGATAATATAAATTTCCTATTTTCACCCTAAGAATCTTATTTCTTCACACCAGCATCCAAGTTAGATTGTTAGTAATATGTTTTTGTGTGGATGCACAAATAAAGAGTAATTTTTGTCAAGTTAAATCATGAAAAATTGAATTTTTATAAACTATTTATATAAAAATCAATAATTATGAATTACAATATTTGTGTTGTGATTCTCATTGTTCCATAGTTTTACATACTTTTTCAAAAATTCATAACTTTCTTATTAGTTATCCGATTTTGCTCAAACTTTTTTTGATTGGTTTGTCTGATTTTTCTGCTTTTTAAATTTTTTTTTTTTGAGTGGACTTTTCCTTTAAACACTTGCTTACAATCGAGTGAGTACCTTTACCGTACTCTTGATATGTAAGGAATTTGATTACAGCGTCACAAAGACTTTCAAGAAACCAACTCTGGCAAATTCAATAACATTATTGCCTGTAGAAATCAAGCTTGAATAATATCATGTGTCATATGCTATTTGTAACTTTCACATTCCAGTCGCTGATGGACTAGACAATTGAAATTGGGTTAATACTAGGCGGTGTCACACAGAAAAATCCCTTAAAAAATCTTGCTTCGTTAGAGGATTTTTAATGGGATAATTGGTGACAGACAGCAATTAAGAGGATAACTAAAATCCAGATTTTTGGCCTCTGTGTGACACCGCCTAATATATGTCTTTGCCATGATGTGTGTAGTAAACATACATGTATGTTATCTTACTGAAGAAGCTACATTTATATGTATATATGTGATTAATGGAGCTGCCATATTTTATTTCTCTTTTTATTATATGTCTCTTTTTAACCATCTAGGCTAAAGACATTGAGATAGAGAACCTGAGATCGATGGTCAGAGAATTGAAGGAGACCAGTTTGACCATGTCAGGTTTCGAGACATTTTTCCGCCAGATGGCAAGAGACAAGGAAAGCTGAGATGGAAAACTTGGAATCGATGGTCAAAGAGTGGAAGAGACCTATATGACTACATGTATGTCCAGTGTTGAGACATGAAACCACCAGTGGGCTGAGGGACAAGAGTAGCTGAGATGGAGATCTTGAGATTGATGGTCAGAGGTGAAGGAGACCAACTTGACCATGTCCAGTTTTGAGATGTCTTTTCTTCCAGTCAGCAAGATGAGAGGACAACTGAGATACAGAGCTTTAGTTTGATGGTCAGAGAACTGAAGGAGACCAGCTTGACCATGTCCAGTTTTGAGATGTCTTTTCTCCAAGTCGGCAATATGCAAGGACAACTGAGATGCAGAGCTTTGGTTTGATGGTCAGAGAACTGAAGGAGACCAGCTTGACCATGTCCAGTTTTAATATGTCCTTCCATAACTAGTCAAGAGAGAAAGATGCTAGGACAACTGAGATACAGAGCTTTAGTTTGATGGTCAGAGAACTGAAGGAAACCAGCTTGACTATGTCCAGTTTTGATATGTTCTTACACCACTGGTCAAGAGAGAAGGATAATCAAGTTCAGCCTTGATGGAAGAGAAAATGCATCGAAAGAAAGTAAAGATTCCATTACTATGTGACCTATCTGTGTTGGGTTTGATGGGTTTAGGATGTCATCAGTTGGAAGGAGATATTGTTAGTAGTATTAAAGAGAAGTTAATGCAAGGGGCGTGTCTTACTTTTCAGTCTTCTAGATTAAGGCTTGTGTACGTGTAAACCCTTCGTCTTAAGAATGTAAGAGAGAAAGGGAAGTAGTATTAACACCAATTTGAGGAGGCAGAGCTGATTGATTAAGACCTTTGGAAACCCTGTAACACTATGGGTTAAATGTGTGGAAAAATTAAAGAAATGATGAAGCTCAGATTGCAAGACAAGTTTTCTTTCAATATTTTATTAAAATGATGTCAAGTTTGATAAGGGTTTGTAGGTTTCTGAAGATGATTTTCCAGTCCAACCTCAAACCCATATATTGTTATGTTTCATTCCATAAATTTTTTATCAGATTGAAAAGAAGGGGAGAAAAAAAATCTAAGCTCCATCGCAGTTGTTTCAGAGGTGAAAACTAACTTATATTCTGTCTACGATCTTACTACTGTCATATGGTTGTAATGTGTAATATTTACAACTTAAAATTTACGACTCGAAATTTACAACTTAAAATTTACAATTTATACAGCTGTGTGGGTGATTTGAATAAACCTCTATGATATAATTGCATTGCAGTGAGATTTGGTGTTGCTAGATTTGCAAGGTTGCCTCAACTTCGAAGTTCTCCAGGTTCACTCTAAGCAATGTCTATAATGATGCATGGAACATCAAAATGTGTGGCACTGTATCTTTTCATACAAACAGGAACAATATGAGACCATTTTCTACAAAGTTTTGGTACAATTCCTTTTTAGTACCTGGACTAAACGTTACCTTAAGAGTAGTTGGTTGATAGCTGACAAAAACAGTAAACAGTGGGCAAGAATGTGTGCTAGTCAACTCTAAAGACAATGATAAAGTATAATTGTATGATTGGAAGATTTTATATTTTTGGGGCGAGTGTTTGGTGCAGAGATATTTAACGGTGCTTTTTGGTTGTTGTTCTTGTTGCTATGTTATTATTTTTTGCAATAATCATTTTACAACTTTGCTGTTCATGCAATTCCACAGACAAGTCATCATCTTTTCAATAATTTTTCAAGTAATCTATTCAAATATGAAGGTGTACCGGTACACATAACTAAATATGCTGTGTTATATTCATTGATGGCAAACTTTACCATCTATGGTAAGTTTTGTGCAACGGGCCTAGAGGGTTTCAAAGCCAGGGCCAGATCCTGCGTCCTGCACTGGACCGAGATTGTGTAGTGAGTTGAGAAGAAGAAGTTAAATTTGTTGCAAATGCCATCTTTTTGAACTAACAAAGCAATTTGCATCTTCATAATGTGATTCATAATTTCATATGCAAAGATTATTATATACACACTGTATTTGCATTATGGAAAGCATGTGGTTTCATTTTTTAATTACCGGGAATTGACCTTGTATAAACATATCTTGACGAATAACAAAAAGTTATCTTCCTCAGAATTCCCTTTCCTTTCTGTGCTTTTTGAATCATGGTTTCAACACTATGAACATGTCTGGCAAAGAGAGCGGACAAAATATACAGTTCCTCGGGTAGACAAAGGAACATCCCTTCACTGCTATTATGTAAAAATGTGTAGAACAGGTGTCACATGCATATTCACCTTTGTACATAATAGCAGTGAAGGGATGTTCCATTGTCTACCTGAGGAACTGTATATTTTGTCCGCTCTCTTTGCCAGACATGTTGATAGTGCAATATGCTTGGTATATATGTAAGTTTTGCAATATTCTGCTTTCAGTTATTTGTTAAATTGCTATTACAAATCAATGTCTTTGTATCATGTTTTAGCCCTAAACCAAAAAATACTAATCAATGCTTTAATTGAGATGGTTTAATTGAGGAGTATGCAGAGGTTTTGCCTTAGGTTTTGAAGTTGTTGTGTTTTTCTTTCATGCTTTGCATTGTGTTTTTTATTTTATTAGTTGCTTAAACATTGAGACATCATTTAATTTGTTCTCGTATTGCCATTTTGGGGGTTCTTTACTGCTGAATTGTGTTTGTACAGCTTGCTTAAAAGTACAGAGTTATAATTTGTGTAAAAAGTTTTTTTAATCACATGCCTCTTCACATTCAAAATGGCTGAATCAATTTGTCACCAAATTATTTCTGGTCAGTTGGTAAGAGATTTGAATAAACTTTAATCCTTTATTGAAATAATATTCATAAGTCAGATCTTATTAGTGTCTAGTAAGATAAGATGTGCTATGTAGAAATGTGTAAATACCTAATTTCAATTTATTTTCTCGGGCTGGTCCTGGTTTTATTTGTTTACATTACATACATTGCGAACATTTCAATAAACTTTTAAATGAACTGAATTTGTAATAATGCCAAATATATTTTCTGTAATTCAGGGTACTTCCGCAATTAAATGAAAGAAATATGGACCTGAATACCATATGTGATTTTGTAAGCCCTAACGCAATACATTTTCAAAGTTATTTGACTGAATTTTCTTTGAATTACTTACAGAGAAAGAATAACCATGCAGACTTATTTAATCTTTGTATTGTGTTCAGAGTTAGTCATTCTTATCATACAACATTTCATTAAAACAAACTGGTGTTGATTTCATTTGATGTTTGTTTTATTAGGTACTCCTTTCCTTTTATTTTCATTCATTTATGTTTCTCTAACTAAGTTAACTTTAACTGAATGTATGCTGATAGATCTTCTGTTATAATGTACATGTTCTGTTAATTTGGCATATATTATATTTTTGATATAATTTGCTTGTATATTGATAGTTTTCTCAATCTTGTGGTGGGCTTCCATTTAAAGTAGTCATCCGAAAAAAATTCATGACAACTGATAATTATGGACAAATTTTATATGGATGGAAAGATTTATAGATATCATGGAAAAGCGTAAAATGCAATATTGCAGCTAGCTATGTCTTGCATGTGACATCACAAATCTTGACGCTCTACAGAAGACCGCTGAGGGCGGGAAATCTGGATCTCAAAATTAACATTTTTGAGGGATGATTACTGCGGGCCCCAAACATATTTTGAAGAGGGATATTTGATCAGTAAGACTTCCCCTTTGCAATGATATGAATTTTGCATCAATTCAAAACACTTTTTATTTTTGGGGTGACTACTTTAAAGTCACCTTGTAAATTGGCTGTTTAACATACCGTCCTTGTTTTCACGAAGTGACGGTAGTGAGGAAAATCGTAACGCAAAGGGAATGCAATTTTTTTTCACTACCGTCACTTCGTGAAAACAGCGACGATACAGCATTCTGGGCGTGTAAGCTGTTCACTGGTAGAATGGGTAAAGACTCCAGGCAAAGTTTGTTGCACTAAACTGCCTGCTACCACATGGGTATAGAGACCGACTTAACAGTAATGAGTCATTATGATAATTATAGTTCTTATCCATAAATAGTTTTGATTTTCCATGCATGGTCATGATGTTGTGAGGACATTTTAAGCTGCAAGTTATCTAGGGACTAAGTGGTATATGGGTAGCTGTAGTGATAGATGGTTTAAAGTGACTTTATGTATGTACATAAACTGACAAACTATAGTTTCAACTGTTAACTGATACCTGGTTGGGATGGGTGTAGTTTAAACAAATATATCTAAAGGGAACATTTTGTTGTAGATTTGTTGTTTTGTGGAAAATTGTGTCTTTCTTACCCTGCCTTTGAAATTGTGAGCTGCTTTTCCACATTTGTGATCGTTCTATTTTTCTTGCATTCCCATATATATCATGTACCAATGCACAGATTTATATCTCACCATGTATTGACAGTTAGAAAGATAAAAGACAAACTGGCAAGACAGTGCTGATTTACATGATGCCTTTTTATTTTTCATACATATATATTTCTATTTGGGATCTTTCATGAACGTAGTGATATAACTTATGGAAATATAAAATATCACTATTTCCCTACAGAGAATATTTGGTTGCTCACAATAAGGTGTGACTAATCATATCGCATGCTTTATCATGACAGAAAAACTGCCAAATTGCAGTATATATTTTTTAAAGAGCTATATTTGTACTAAAAATTAAACATGCATATTTTGTACTTTTGTGATTTTTTAATGACTTTCTGCATTGATATTGAAGTAAATAATGAATAAAGAGAAATAAAAGAATTACTATTCTTTATTGTGATTTAAAATATATAAGAATTTTGGTTGTATTGGCCTGTTTGGTATTTTATTATCAAGTGTACAAGAAATTGATCAAATGATCAGTAGAGTAGAGAAATTGATGAAAGGGTAGGGAGAGAGAGGTGGGGGAGGGGTAGTGAGAGGGCCGGGAGAGAGAGAGAGAGAGAGAGAGAGGGGAGAGATCGAAATCGGGTGAGTTAGGAGGTGAAGATGATGAAGGGGATTTGTGTTTGTGTGCATGTGTGCCGTTCATGTGTAATATGTTTTACTTTTATTCTTTAAAAACTTACAAGACAAGAGCAAGATATATTCATAATGGTGGTAATGGTTTTATTAAAAAAAAAAAAAAATTTGCAGCCAGATGGCTGAATTGCAGAATTTTGTACATTGTAAAAACATAAATATTTATACAAACATAAAACGTATTAAGACACATCACACAGTGAATGAATTTTCTAAATAAATCATAGTACACACATATATATATATATATATACAAATTAATAAACAGCTAACAGTTGCTTTATTATATTCCGCAATCATCATAGGGCTGGAGGGAAATATAGAAGAGAGGTAGGGAGGATAGTAGTGCAGACAGCACAGGAGATTCAGGAAAAGTGTGAGATAGAGAAAGACAGAGGGAGAGAGAAAGAGAGACAAAGCGAGAGATAGAGAGATATATAAAAGATAATGCTGAGGATGAGAGTGTATATCAGACATATCGAAAATAAGGTAAAAAGTACAATTTCGACAGAGAGAATACTGGTTATAAAAATTAATAAATTACATTTTACATTTTCGTTGGTGAGTTATGGATAACATATATTGTAAATTGATAGGTATATGCAATCAGATGAAAGACATGAAATATGATAATTTTGAGATTTTTCTTGTAATAAGCATGTGGTAAGTATGTTTCAATCATTACAAAAGTTAACCATGGTAATCTTAATTTACTTTAATACTTTCATGTGCGTAAAGAGACGGTAGTATATAAAGAACAAATATATGCATAATTATGACTGATATTTGGGCAAGTCCAAGCTATTCAGTCTCATATGTTACCGGCCACGTTTCAGGACAATCACCCCCCGGAAAACTACCACCAAGAACGATTACCACCCCTTGAAAATTACCCCTAGTACAACCGCCCCCCCCCCTCCCCAAGGTCAAGCAAGTCCGAGGACAATCACCCCACCCCCTCCGCCTGTTCATTAAAAGGGATGTCTACCCTAATAAAAGGTTTTACAAAAGCAGATTTTTTTTTTTTTTTTTTTTTTGGGGGGGGGCTAATTTTCCGAGGGATAATTATCCGCGGGAGTAATTGTCCCGACAATTGGCCGGGGTGATTGTCCAGGGGGTAATTATAATTATCCTATAGAGCCACCAAAATATGGCGAGAAAACTGAAATAACTGGTATTCTTCAACTGCATTTTATATATACATGTACAACTTTCCGAACCTCTCTCAATTTGACTTCACTTCCCTCTTTTACAGAAAATAATATAACAATGATTCACCCTCCCACGTGATATTTTCATTACGCATCATGTTTCTATTAATTTTGTCAATAATCCCTCGTCAAGACCTTGACCTTTTCATGTGAACGGAAACAGACAATTTTAGCCCTATCGGCACACAACTGAATATGATACGAAATAATCATTGAAAAAGCCTTTTAGACCTAGGCCTCCGCCATTGTTGAAGTGATCATTTTTCACCGCATACATTACTTTTTTGTACGCTGATTTAAGTTTATCTAGGCAGGATCAGGACACAGCATCAATAAGTTTTAGAGTAAAATTTGACAAAATGTTGTGAAGTTGGGAACTGCTTGGTTATTTAGGAAATGATTTTTTTTTCCTGAGTAATAGCTGAGGCCCGAGCTGAGGTAAGCATGGTCATCATTAAATTATCTCAAAGAATAAAAAAGAGATGAAACTTGTTCGAATTTATATCGAAAGAAGAAGAAGAAGAAGAAAATGACGAAGGGAAAAAAAGAAGAAAGAAGAAGTATAAAGGAAGAAAAAGAAGAAGAAGAAGAAGAAGAAGAAGAAGAAGAAGAAGAAGAAGAAGAAGAAGAAGAAGAAGAAGAAGAAGAAGAAGAAGAAGAAGAAGAAGAAGAAGAAGAAGAAGAAGAAGAAGAAGAAGAAGAAGAAGAAGAAGAAGAAGAAGAAGAAGAAGAAGAAGAAGAAGAAGAAGAAGAAGAAGAAGAAGAAGAAGAAGAAGAAGAAGAAGAAGAAGAAGAAGAAGAAGAAGAAGAAGAAGAAGAAGAAGAAGAAGAAGAAGAAGAAGAAGAAGAAGAAGAAGAAGAAGAAGAAGAAGAAGAAGAAGAAGAAGAAGAAGAAGAAGAAGAAGAAGAAGAAGAAGAAGAAGAAGAAGAAGAAGAAGAAGAAGAAGAAGAAGAAGAAGAAGAAGAAGAAGAAGAAGAAGAAGAAGAAGAAGAAGAGATCAATAAAATAGCATGAGGGGCCGGTGGCGGGGGCCTGACCGTCTCTTGAACACAAATTTGTTTTAAGTTGTAATTAACATTTTACCATAAATTTAGAAATCTATGAAATCAATACACAGGCAGTAATTTATACGAGTATTTTTGACATTATGTTGTTATTATATATTATTGTTTTCATTATTATAATTATTATTGCTAAAGGTCACAATTTAGCTGTTTGAGTGCAACTTTGAAAAGCGCCTATACTCCCGACGAAATACGAATAACTACGTACTCTGCTTTTCGATAAACTGTGTTTATGGATAAACACTGTGTTTACCGGCGATATGCAGTGTTTATCTGAATTATTGGGCAAATGGCGCGCCATAAATGTAGCCCAAAGATGTAGCCGCATCATCCTGCGCTGCGTAATTAATTGCTATGGACACAGACCAAGCCAAATCGGGTCGCAGTTTGTATGACGATGGCGTCTAATTAAGATTAATGCACACATTTGATACTGCGAAAACGAAGAGTTGTAAGTATGATGTGATACTTATGTAAATGATAATTCAATTGATGGGTCTAAATAATACTTCAATTTGCCATGATTAGAGGTCAGAAATATTTGAAATATTTGAAATTGTGCGCAGGGCCAGGGAGCTCCAAATTCCAAGCGAGGTACCGGTACCGTAATACTCATGGACCCCGACGCCTAAGGCTTCGGCGCGGCGTCGGAGCTCCTTTGGCTGCTTTGGCTGCTTTGGCCGTCTCTATGTTTATTAGACCGAAATTTCTGTCTCTTTCGTTTGTTAGTCTCTGATTTGGGTAGGGTCGGCTCCTCTCTTTAGAGACAGCCTAGGCGCTCCTGTACCTGTACCTGTACCACCAAACTTATGCCCAAATATTATATTTTACCGGATGCATATCCAACCTGTATCCGATGCATTTAATTTTGAATATTACTATAGGCCTAGGCCCTAGGCTATTATATATCGGTTCCACTTACCATGCAACTTGACTGATAAATCTGTTTAATGGTCCCTTTTCAGGAAATTATGGGTCAAAATCGACATCCATGTTGAAAAATAGCTTGCAGTAACTCTTGCTGCGCATGACGTCATCTAAATCTCGTCCTTTCTTGTCTACGTGCAAGGCAAAATTATTATGAAGGAAAAACTGTACACGAGTTACGAGTTCGTAATGACGTTATCACAGTTTTTCCTTCATCATTTTGCCTTGCGAAGATATAATTTAATAAACCTTGAATTGTATGGAATATTGAGTTGAATAGTTTCAAGATTTAAGTTTTATTAATTTATTTCCACTGACATGAAAATGATATATTCATGAACAGTAACAACAAGTTCATCGTCAACAAGAATTTATTGTTCAAGAATAAATTCATGAACAATAAAAGTTATAAAGACAATTATGTGGAAAAGAGGTGGTCTGTTAAAAAAGCACAGCTTGTTAAACACAGCTCACCTTTACAGGAACAGCAACAAAAAAGATCAAAAAAGAAGTAGACCTAGAGGTCTACAGTGCAGTGAAAAAAATACACGGGGGCTCGGGGCGAATTAGCCCCCGAAATGCCTAAAAGAGCCCCCGAAAATCAGAAAAGAGCCCCAGTAAATTTGCATAGAGTTCAATGCAAAACAAATTTTAGAATGTTATTTTCATGCAGGCAAGGTTGAAAAGTAGCCCCCGAAAAATAAATATTATTTTTTTCCCTGCTACAGTGTATATTAATAATAAGATTAATAAGAATAAGAATAGAATAGAAATGGAAATGGGGAAGGTGAATAAATATACAATACAGGGGGTGGGGGGACTAACGATACTATATACTGAATATTAATAAACATCAGATCTATCACTAATTTATAGTTTGTTATTTGATGCATGATTTTTTGGTAACTCCAAAGACATACATGTAGGTGACAGGTTTATATTCAAAATGGCTTGTAAGCATGTTCTCAAGAATAGTCTGCCCCCAAATCTGAAAAGTAAGAAAAAATAATTGTCTCTCTTTTTCACTTGTAACGTATCTTTGCCAGGGACTTTACTAAAGGTTTTCACTCCGGAATACAAGGGCAGGTCCAGGAATTGGTGCTGGGAAAAAAATTGGGGGGGGGGGGGGTGGTGGGAAACAATTTAGAATATGACACAATTAATTGGCACTATTCTGTTGTGTACAGCAAGTATGCCAATTTGATTTCTTTAGAAGGGAAGGGGGGCCATGCCATGGGTATAATTGATGCTGAAATACTATACCACTTCCAAGGACTATGACTTTATCTAAAGACACAGCATTTTTTCTTTTCTTGTTCTGTCATTTATTCAGAGATGTCCAGTATGGCAGCTGTGGTGAACAGTGATCCAGATGGGTTCCAGGACCTGGTCTTGGGTGAGACTGAGACCCTTCCTGAGCAAGAGTCCAACACAGTGAGGATCTTTCTCAGCTCTACATTCACAGGTAAAAACATTACAATATTAACCCTTTGTTCGCTTCCTTCGCATCTGTGCACAGTCACTCTTTTGCCACGTGCAATTTTGCACAAAAACTAGGCACCAATCGATGGAAGGATTTATTTTGGCAAAACAATGGCTTTGCAAAAATACCTATTTTGGGTCTTGATTAGTTCCATGACGAAACTTTAGCTGGTAATCTTGCAATAGGAACAGTTAAATATTCTTGAGGTTTTGGTATTCTATTCAGTCATAAATACAATGTGGCAAAGGATGATTTTTTTTGGTGGCTTGTAAAGAAACTCATTCAGACGTGAAGCTTTACGCAGTGGCATATTAAAATGAGATAAGCAGACTGCGCTTCCTGCTTTCTTTTTTTCAATAAGTATGCAAAGGGGACCTGTGGACAGCCATGTTTTTTATCTCCACAACAATAAGAGTTGATTTGTTTTTCTCCTTGTAGACATGAAGGAGGAGCGGAACAAGCTGATCAGGGAGGTGTTTCCAGAGCTCAGTCGCTACTGCCTTGAAAAGAGGCTAGAGTTTGAAGTAGTCGATATGAGGTGGGGTGTAAGGGACAGTGCTACGGCTGATCATCTGACAGCTTTCTTGTGCCTCAATGAAATTGATAAATGTAAACGGATGTCTCAGGGACCTTACTTTGTGGTAAGACTAAGATTTGGAAACAAATAACAAAGTTCAATACTTACATGTATGTCAGAAATACGCATATTTTACTTGGGTTTTGGCTGAGATAAAATACTTAGCAAACTTTGGTATTCAGTTCAGTTGGCTAAGTATTTTAACCTCAGCCAATTATTTGGAGGCCTAGATTACCAGGCATTAGGTTTTCATGCACAGTCCTTATAAGCTGTGCACAATTGTACATGTATTAGCCTGCATTTAATTTGGATCAGCTTAAAGTGACATCACAATGGCCATCATTAAATTTAAGTACATATATGATATTGCCTTAAAATTGGCTTACTAAAGTAAAATACTAAATTTTAAGTGAAATACTAACATGATGAAAGCGTACAATTAATTAGAGGCCCAATTATTTGTTGAGACCACCCTTTTTATTTTCCCTTCCATCATGTGTCCCATTAAAGGGAACATGTTGATAAAGGGCTCCTTCTACAAACATGTAGATCATTTTTCTTGTTTGTATTTTGTGATCTTTATATGCAGTCCTTATTGTTATTTAGCTACACATACATGCATTTTGATGATGATGAATTATGGCTATAGAACTAAAACTTTGCATACTTGCTGCAAAGACATAATGTATATAATCACTTTATTTGTAGGGTTTCCTAGGCGATAAGTATGGCTACCGTCCACTCAATGCCACCATTTCCTCAGACATTTTTGAAAAACTCATGGATACCGTCTCAAGAGATGAAACCGCGAGCAAGGAGGATGAGGATCTCATCAGGAAGTGGTATGTGGAGGACACCAATGCCATCCCGCCAGTCTACGTTCTCCAGCCAATCACTGTCCACCTTCCTAACTACTATGACTCCAGTGATTCCCAGAAGCAGAATGCGACGAGGCAGAAGTGGTGGGAGGTCTTTGAAAGGATGAGGAAGGCGTTTGATTCGGCTGCTAAACTGGCAAGACAGGAGGGTGTTTTCACTGCAGACGAAATGCATGAACTTATAATGTCTGGTAAGTCATATTTCACTTCTGCATAATAGTCATATGTATCAATTGAATTGTTTTGGAGGAGATGTGAGAGGGAAACCCAAACATTGATAGCACGTTACTGTGAAGGAGATGTCCAGTAAATCAGAAAAACAATCAAAGAAATGGATCGTGACATTTTGAACCACATCAAATGATTGATGAAAAAGTTGTATATTGTTTAATTTTGAAAGGACAACTTTGCCATTTGCTCCCACACACACATTACAGAATGTTATTTGTGAATAGATTTTAATGGAGGTGCACTCAGCACTGAAAAAACTTTAACTTTTTTTTTATTGAGGTAAGAAGTATTTACAACAGAAATGGAGGAACATTTTTAGTATAGAAAATATTGAGAGTTGTCCCAAGTAACATCAGACAAATTCATTGACTATTTTGCCAATGTTGGAGTCACATAGACGTGTAGGCCTTGTTATAGTGTGAATGAAACTATTTCCTTATATGATTTCTACAGTGACCGAAGAGGAGATTCGTCATGGTTTGAAAGACAACGCCAACATTGGTGATACTTGTATATTCTTTACAAGGGACTTTACGGGTATGGAGCCATCTTTTAAGCAGAAAGCAACTTTGTCCAAGTTCACTGACATTCAGACTGATGAGTAAGTACTTCTTCTTGTAATGAGGTTAAATATCATCTAACCCATGGTCTAGATTATGGTTTATATTTCCAAATAAATATAAATATATAAATGTATTATAGCCCTCTTGTTGGACGTGAGGACAAAAAATGTTCTAACTTTAAATCATGAGTTAAGATGAAAGCTTTTTATTACTATCATGATTTTCATTTTCTCCTTGATTCTGACATTTGCTCATGTCATAAATTTAGTGGACCCTAAGATTTGTGGTTCTTAACATGCTGGACGGACTGAACATTTTTTCTATTTTTTGGAGGGGGTGGGAGGAGCAAATTGAACAGAGTGAGTTTGCCCCCCCCCTCCTGTATCAGCCAGAAGACATTTCTCTCATATGTTATGGTATACTTCCCCTTTCACTTTGCAGTGACAATGAAACCCTTGAGTTTGTGGAGCATTCCCAGACCTTGCTCACAAGACTGAAGAAGGAATACATACCCAGTCTGGTGCCAGCCCAAGCACTCAATACCTTCACTGTACCTTGGTGCGATAAGGGCATTGACCCCATCGGTTGCCCGGAGCACGCAGAATACCTGGGACAGATGTGTGAGATATTTGAGCGTAGGATGAAGGCCATGATAGATAAGAAGCTGGAAGGTCAAAGGTCAAAGGTTGTAGATCCAGTGAAAATTTGCTTGCAGAGAGAGCTCCTTCATCATGCATCCTTTTGTAAAACAAAATGCAGGTATGTGATCTGATAATATATTTACAAAAATTAGAATTTCGTAATGTACTTACATATTAGGCAGAGGTAAGGTAGATATAAAAGTATTTATGATACAATCTTCTGTATGCACGATTAGATGTGAGAATGCCAAATTTAGTAAACGTAGTTTTTAACATTCTCATGTCTTGAAAATGATTGAGATGTTTATATAGTGTATTTGGCTTCACAATGGAAAGGAAAACATCCCCAAAAGTTGTGTGCAAGATGGTCAATTTGGTGAGAGAAAACTTGATGTTCATTTCTTTGAAAAATAAAATAATTCTGTTCATCATATGGTATATATAACGGTAACATTATAGATTCTCATAACCACAGTGTAACATATGGTCATCTTTATAGATGACATCCAATCTTTTCCTTTATCTTACCCCATTTGCTCTTTACTTATCATATTATACAGTGCCTTTCAAGGAAGAGATGATATCCTAACGTCCATTAGGTCTTACCTATCTTCAGACCTGTCCAAGCCCCTGGTCGTCCATGGTATATCAGGATCCGGCAAGACGTCTGTCATGGCCATGGTTGCAAGGCACTCAAGAAAGTGGATAGAAGGATGTGTCACTGTCCTAAGATTCCTTGGGACATCAGGCAACAGTTCAACCATCCATGCCACATTGAAAAGCATGTGTCAACAGGTACGGACAGGTTGTGTTACATCCACTATCAAGATGTGTACTATCTAGAAGTGTCGTAGTCGAGTGGTTTAAGCACTTGATTTGAAATTCAAAAGTTGTGGGTTCGATCCCCGACAGGGTACCAATGTCCTTTGGCAAGGCATTAATCTACATTTGCCACTCAATACCCAAGAAAGAAACAGGGACCCGGTAGGATGACAAAAGCACTTGTGTTAGTAATTGCCTATGCCCTTACTGTGACCATATGGTAGGAATACTCCCCAGAAAATATTTGTACAATATTTTCATGCATCTTATAAAGTTTCAGAGTAGGTGTGTAGCGGGTTTGAAGTGTCTGGAAAAATATATTGTATGTTATCAATCAGAGAAAGAAGTTATTAGTAAAGATTGTGTTGCCTCACAGTGACCTTCTTATGCTCATACTTGTTGTTTCCAACAGATTTGCTTTGCTTACGGTGCCCCGCAACCCTCATCCGATCATTCAGGAGACTTTTCAGAACTGGTGCAGCTTTTCAATAGCTTGATCGAAACACTTCCAACCAAAGATAAACCTCTCCTGCTGATTTTCGACAGTATTGACCAGCTCAGTTCTAACAACAATGCACACAAGATGAACTGGCTTTCAAAGTCTTTACCAGAAAATGTCCATGTTGTGGTGTCCATGCTGCCTCAGGAACACAACATTCTAGACAACATCAAGAAGACCCTGACAGACCCCAGATGCTACATTGGAATGGAAGTTGTTGGTGAAGAGAATGGTATTGCTATCATGGATGGCTGGTTGAAGGAAAGAAAACGAAGTCTGAACGAGGAACAAGTGAAAGTGGTGAGGGAGGCTTTCAGTAAGTGTCCTCAGCCACTCTTTCTGAAGCTACTCTTTGAGGAATTTGTAACATGGCCATCGTACAAGACAGTAGCAGATGTAAAGCTCCCTAGCACTGTGGTGGATGCTATCAACAACCTGTTTCAAGAACTAGAAGAGCATCATGGGCTTATCTTTGTAGCACATGCGCTCGGTTACCTGACTGCAGGAAAGAGTGGTCTTACAGAAGCAGAGATAGAGGATGTCCTTTCTTGTGATGACAAAGTCCTCAATGATGTCTATCAGTACTGGGATCCTCCAGTGGAAGGGGTTGTTCGCATTCCACCATCAGTCTGGAAGAGGTTGCATCAAGACATCGGGGAGTTCATCACGGAAAGGCAGGCTGGTGGCAAAACAGTGATTGCTTGGTACCATAGGCAGTTCATTGAAACAGCTGAAAGGCGTTACCTTGGTGATCCAGAGACCAAAATGGCCAGACACAAAGTTCTTGCAGATATGTTCCTTGGAGAATACAGCAGAGGTAAAATCAGGCCAATTCGACTTGAGAGACGCAATAAGGATTTCCCTAATGCAGACCGTCTTGTTTCACCTCAACCCCTCATGTTTGGAGAGAGTGTCTTCAATCTCAGAAAGCTGCATGAGCTTCCTTTCCACTTGATGCGATGTGAGATGATGGATGGAGTCCCTGAGGGTATGGTGCAGCATATCATGTACAACTTTGAGTGGATTCTGACCAAGTTAAGAGCCTTCAACTTTCTGGAACTTGTCAATGACTTTTCAAAATTTGATGAAGAAAGTGGCATCCTTCTTGAGGCCTTGTACTTGTCTGGAAGTAATCTGAAAGAAGACCCTTTCTGCTTAGCAGGCCAACTTCTTGGGAGGATGTATGATCTGATGGACAATTACTCTAACATTAGACAATTGCTTGGAGAAGCCAAGGCATGGGTGAGGACTACCCATCAATCTTTGATCATTCCTAGAGGAGCATGTCTGATCCCTCCAGGAGGACAGTTGAAGACATCGTTGGCCGGTCACCCATCCAGAGTAGAGGCTATTGCTTGCACTGGCAAAGGAGATGTCATTGTAACAGTCTGCAAAGACTCCAATGGCTACCCCATGGCTAATGTTTGGGATGAAGAAAATACAGAGCTCATACACACTCTACAAGTCAAAGCAGGAAGCAAAGCATCTGGGGCACTATCCCTTGCCATCAGTCATGATGATACGTTTGTCATCTTCGGCTGTCAGGTGTTGGGAATGTTTGAACTCACCAGTGGTGAGTGCATCTGGAAACTTGAGACTGGTGAAAACCATGCTATCAGCTCTCTTCAGATCCATGAAAATGGAGCCTTGGCCATTGGTGGATCAGGGAAAGGGTCAAATGTCTGTATCTGGGACCTCAATCTTGGACAGCTTCTCGCCAAGCTAGATCATCCCAAAATTGCTAACTTTGCATTCTTTGAAGGTGATGCTGAGGTATTAACTGGTTGCCAGGATGGTTTCTTCAGGCAATGGTCCATTACATCCAAAGAATGCCTTCTTTCATTCCAAGCTCACAAGGAAAATGACATGAAAGTAGTTGCCCATGCCAGGTCCATCCAAACCCTTGTATCAGGTGACAGCAATGGATCCATCAGGATCTCAAGGTATGCAGACAAACCAAGTGCCCCGAGCAAGGTCCTCGAAGGTCACAGGAAGGCTGTCACTTGTCTTCTAGTCTTATCTGATCATTTACTTGCATCTGGGTCAGCAGATTTTACTGTTCGTGTCTGGAACATGACAGAGGGCACAGCTGTCTTGAACTGTAAAGGTATGTCTAAAATGTGTATTGATCAAATGATTATATGATAGGATGATTGTATGAAATATGCTCAAGCAACATTTGCTCCATGGAAAATTTCTCATACTGATAAAAAAAAACTATGACCCCAAACCTTTCTGAAAACCTTAACCAAACCTATAACCCCTATCCATCAAATGCTTAAGAAATGAAGCTTTTAGAAGATGTGGAATGTGGAATTGCTAATATACATACAGAACCAAAACAATTATGAAAGATACACACATGTGCATTTTCTGTGTGTTTTAAGAAACAATGAATGAACTTTAAATAACTCCTGTTTGATATTTGATATTTGATATTTGTCGAGGTCAAAAGCCAATGAACACTTTGAGAAAAAAAGAGATGACACCGAATTGAAAAATACCTATCAGTGCCATCATCCCCATAAAATGGAAATATCTGCAGCAGTTATTGATGGCATGTTTGTAATTTACAGGGCATGATGGCATGGTCACTTGCCTTTGGCATTGCCCGGCAGACCCCAACGAAAGCGATTCCAAGTCCATCCTGGTATCAGGTTCTAAAGATGACTTCCTGAAGGTTTGGGACCTGGACCCTAAGGATGTTCGGTGTCCTCTCATCACAACCCTGGAAGGACATTCTTCATGGATCTCAGATGTAACAGGAACAAAGAAGAGAGTGATTTACTCTGCGTCAAACGACAAGAGCGCCAAGATGTGGGTCTATACTATGGAAACAGTAAGTGTCTTTACTATAGAAACTTTACCGAAACTAATACAAGCTAAATGTAGTACAAACAATGAATTGAACTGTTTCTACAGAGATGTAGAGACTGGGGATGAGCAAAGAAGGTGTAGTTAGATGGTGGAAGAATAAAAACATTATCATTCTTGAGATGGTGTCGCAGCTAGAAACAGGTCAGTCTTTTTATGAAAAACAAAGATAATCTTGAGAGTTGTTTTTTGATAATCCCATATTCAATCATAAGCCCTCTTCAATATCATGGAAATTTAGCAAAGCTATTTTAACAGATCTGATTTATTGTGTGAATCATTACCACTCTATTTCATTCCAGATGATTAAGAGGGAGAGACACAACGGCCATGCAGTCGTTCTCAGGTTTACTCCTGATGGGTCCACAGTTATCACCAGTGGACAAGAGGGATCCGTCAAGTTTTCTTGTTTCTATGACTGCCATGTGACCCGCCGTGAAGAGGGATTCACCTCCAAGCTGGTGTTCAGCAGAGACAGCAAGAAGATGATTGGTGCATTCAAAGAGGAGGGGCGGCTTCGTGTCTGGGATATGAACCAATCAACAGAAGGAGGCAGAGATGTCTTTGATCTTGAAGGTCATGAGAAGGGCATCCTATGGTTGGTGGTGGGGAAGGATAATGAGGTTGTCTCTGCTTCACAGGATAAGATGATTAAGGTGTGGAACGTGGACACCAAGACATGCAGGCTCACTCTTACAGGTAAGACCCTGGATGAATTATTCTGTCACAAATGAAACTTGTATAGAAAGGCATCCTGTCTATAAACCCTTCCAAATTTTGGTTACTTTAAATGATTTTCTTGTTGAAGACTGCATTTCTCATCTCCCTTTAGTGTTCTTAATATACATTTACAGGTTATACTACATTTATTTTAAAATGTGTCATAAAATCGTATCATATAGAAGAATTAGTGGAAAATGGTACAAGAGATTATTTAGTGTTTGCTAGTACTATGAAAATAAATATCAACAGCTTCTGAAGAGCGTTTTCTCATGGCATAGCTGGTTTTATAACCCTAAAAACTTTTGTGCAAATATTCATAGGAATCAAATAATGATATCTCGCTTTGAAAGTCCTTCGTTTTTCATTTATAATATAACCAATATTATATGATAGAATTGATTCTGAAATACATTTTCATACATTCTGTTTTTGCCTGATCAGAACATGAGGCTCCCGTAGGACTAGTGGAGACAGTGACACACAAGGCAGACACCTTCATTCTATCAGCAGACAGCAAAGGAGTGCTCAAGTTCTGGAAATATGACACTGGAGAATGTCTGCTCTCTACCAAAGAGCACAGTGCATCCATACGATGTCTCAGCATCTCCGGAGATGGTAAGTTGAACATTTTTAAAAAACCATCCCAAATAGCAATGATAGCCTTGATATTGTCCGTCCTATAAGATCTGTATGGTATACCATATTGGCATTTTGGTTATGGTGGTGGTGGTTATTTAACCTGACTGCTAAGAAAGCATAAATGCTTGTAATTAAGCAACCAGACGGCCGACGGCTTTAGGTCCTCTCCGAGGGACCTTGTAATGAGGATTAATACCTTGCCAAAGGGCACTAGCGCATCGACTTGGTTTCGAACCCGGATCACCGGATTACAAGACCACTGCTCTACCAACTAAGCTATCGCATTCCAAGATTGTATGTTTCTTGAAATGTGTTTAAGCTTTTGTTCGGGACTGCGTTCCACCTTGCCTTTGGTTCCACAGGATCTGTAGAATCCATCAAAATAACAAGAAGAACATTCAAATTCCTTTTTTCCCTTTACAACTTCTTTTTGTTTTATTTATTTCCCGCGTGCAGGTCAGTATGCAGTGACAGGTGCCAACGACAAGCAGATGATCCTATGGTCACTTGCTCCCAAAACTTTTGGTCAGGTGGTCAAGCGTATGCCGGTTCATGTGTCAGAGGTCATCTGTTGTGCATTCAAGCATGACAGCACCAGGATTGTCTGGGGAACCCACGCCGGTGTGGAGCAGCTTCATGTCTGGGACTTCATGGCCGATGATGACCAGTGAGTAACGGACTATGCCTTATTGAAGAAAAAAAAAAGTTTTCTGGGCCCTGTTTCATAAGACTTGTTATCAATAACAAGATACAATAATTGTTTTAAGCTACTGAAACCTCACATTTGATTGGCTATGCTATGAGCAGATTGTCATAAACCTGTGGCACTTGTCGTAGATAAGTTTTATGAAACATGGCTCAAGTCATGATATAGCGATTCCAAAAGCAAACATTATTCTATAGTCATATCAAGTAGTTTTTAATTTCTAGGTGAAGTAAATAGAAATGTTTGCATGTGTAGTTCAGGACACGGCTCAAAATTTTTTGTAAACAAATGATAATTTTTTTTTCTTTTATATGACCTATGACATCCTATTGATATGAAATTTTGATAGTACTTTATCATTTCTCCTGACATCACTTTCATAGATTAATGATACGATATACAGGCTTAAAAATGTAGTCAAAATTTCTGTTGGAGTATGACTTGGAGAAAAAACAAATAGGACAACCATGATTGTTTTTGCCCGACGTTCTATTAGTGTACAAAATTAACTGCAACCTAGTCATAGAGAAGGAGATCAAGACTAGAAAAAGCCAAAGACAGCTTCTGACAACTCTTCTGTACAGGCAATGTTTCACAGAAAGGAAAATTACCCCCAGACTACTTTATATCCTAGTGGGTCGCATATAGAGAGTATACTTCTATCACACTTTGGAATTGTTTCACCTTTCAGACTGCTTGTAGGTCACAACCATGCCATCATGGCTCTATGCATCTCATCAGATGACCAGTACTTGGTCACTGCGTCCCGTGACTGCACCCTGAAGGCGTGGCATCTCCCTACCCTGCGGATGCTGGCATCCTTCGATTGCCAGTCTCAGATCAAGAACATAGACCTGGTCTACAATAGTGAGGACCGCTATCGCCTAGCAGCAGAGAACAAATCTGGAACTATTTTGATTCTTGATTTGCTACTTGAGAAAGCAGATAGATCTGATATCAGGTTTGTTGACTAGGTTTATAAGGTTGAGTTGTAGATAGTACAGTGGAACCTCAGTATAAAGATTCCTGATATAACAAGGTAATTTTTATTATCCCAAGGACCTCGTTATAACGAGGTTCCACTGTATTGTTTATACTTTAAGGAATAATAAAGCATTCGCAGTAATACTAATAGTTAGGCATGTCAATTTATTTCGCTATTTCACTATCACCTGGACCAACTACGATACCACCCTTATCCTCAAAGTAAGCTAAAACCCTAACCTTACATCTTTGATGAAATAAGGCTCAGAGCATATGTCACGGTGAAGTGAATGTGGAATCACCTATCCTTGACTTGCCCATGAGAAGTGTGACTTCTGAGTAAAATGAGACTTTCAAGACTCTCAGGAAGTCAGTGCTGGAATGAGTCTTGAGTATATTGAGGGGTCAGTGACACAAAGACGTAACTCCATTCGGCCATTTTGAGAAAAAGTGGTTTACTGTGTCACTGACCACTAGGGCCTTAAGGAGTTAACATACATGCCAACTGTTCAGATTAAAGAGGAACATTCCTCTTTTTGGGAGAAGATAATTATCATTTTAATGCAGGTGTTCCTCTTCCTGTACAAATTTGTCTGTAGTATTGAATAGGAGAGTTAGGATTGTTCCTCTTTTTTTGAAAATAGCATAATTTGTACAGATTTCTGATTTTCAAATGTTGGCATGTATGAGTTAAGTATATGTTTCACTAGCCATTGACTTCAATGGGGTGTTGGGTGGAGTTAATTCTTTGTCTTTCCTGGAAAGCCCATATTTTTCTGAACATTTTGATATCAAATACTCAATTTGGCAAAATATTGAGTTACGTCTTTCAGTGTGTTTCCACAGAAAAAAAAGTGGAACACGGATTATCTTTTCCAGATTGAAATGCCGTGTCGCGGCGACACGGTATTAAACCAATCTGCTTCCACAGAGCGCAGCATTTCGATTCGCCCCGATTCCGTGTTTCAAGTCAGGCAAATGCCGTGTCAATCGGAAGTCAAGATTCAACCTTTGACCTCGATCGACACAGGATTCCACGCTATTCTATTGTGACGTACATTTTTCATTGTTACGTACAGCGCGTATATAAACATATTATTGTATACGCGTATTTCAGAGTATTTTTCAACAAATCACGCTGCAGTGGTGATTGGGGCTTCGCGCGCTCTGATGCTCCGCCAGACACGGTTTGTCGCCGTGTGTTTCCACAGAGATTTTACAGGGAGTTCGTTGGAATCGACACGTCAAGATCCACCTCCCAGAGGTGGATCTGATAATCCGCATCTCGGTCGACTCGACTCGACCCGACATGCTTGTGTTTCCACAGGAAAACTGAAATGGTACGACTCGGATAATACCGTGTCGATGTTTTCTGTGGAAACATGCTGTTTGTGTCACTGAACCTTAATCCTAAATATCCCCTCCCATTCATGGCAGGGGGTTACATTCCATCTCTCAAGTTCAATCATAAAACAGTGATGCTCTTCTCTTCTTTATAAAGTCAAACAGTCAAACCTGCTTTAGTGACCACCTGTCTACAAAGGCCACGTTTGCTGTTTCTCTTGAAAACGGTTTCTCATTGAATCATGTACTAAAGGAACCTGTCTACAAAGGCCACTTTTTGTGTTTCCCTTGGGCGGTTGCTATAGACAGGTTTGACTGTATTTAGAAACTTACTATGGTTCTTATTCAGCTAATAAGAAAGAGATAATATTATCTTCCTGTCTTTTTAACTAGCACTGAACCTGTCGCCCAGCTCACCGAGACAAACCAATCACGAACCTCAGAAGACCAGAATGGTGGAAAGCATGTAAACGAATCAATGGGTGGTATCCATCGAGGCATTGGGTCTAACAGCGCATCTTCAAAGAAGTCCAGCAGTAGCTCAGAAACGAAGAAGAGTAAATCAGCACTCTGCATGATCTACTGAGAACCACCATGATGCTCCTTCCATTTAGGTGACTTGTCAGAACCTGACGCTTAAAGTTAAACTGTACTTATGGCAGCAGATAGAACTTGGAATGGAAGCTGTTGCTTATGTCCTCATAATGTCCCACTTGTATCAAGAGATAAAAGTGCCATATATTTGTATATGTCCGTCCACAAAATATTTGAGACTTTTAATGTAATATCTAAAAAAAATGCCAAAACAATGCTTATGTTATTAATGTCTGCACATATAGATGTCCATATGAATTCTCTCCCTTTCATTAAATTTGAATGGAGACCTGCACATGTATTTATATGGGCATGTAATATGGAGTATGCACCAGTTATGTCAGAAAATATTTCATGACCTTTACAGTTACATCATTGTGGCGGACAGCCAGAAGGGCATTGTCTCATTAAAACTGAACCATAGGTAGAATGCTGTTCAAGCTCTCAGCAGATTATGTGTAATGTGCACCAACTCCAGTTCAAGAGTTTGCACATTGACCACTTGTTTTCCCTGCATTTAATTGCTGCATCCTACCTCAGCAATTTTATCTCATTTTTACAATGTTTGTATTTTTTATTCATGACTTTGAGATGTGCCAAAGCAAGGCTGAATTTTGATACCATTAATAAGTATGTCAAATTAATCATGGTATAGTATTTGATTAATGACTTTCTATAGATCCCCACATTCCATTTGTGTATGATCTTACACAAGAAGTTTCTATGTTTGAACATGTACTGTATGTAGGGAATCTTTTCTGCCTATAGTATCTATTAGATTAAGTAGCATGTAGAGTATTTAATTAAGAACCCATTTGTGCTTTTGGGAGAAATAGCATATAAAAATAAACGATTGTTAAAGCATTATCATTTTTTTAAAATGTAATGGAATAGAGAGAGAAAGGTAAGAACCTGTTATAAATACGTGTTCATAATATGAGTACTCCATGTCTTTCAAATACAATGTGTGTACAGTCCTATAGTTTCATACAATATATGCATGTATCTTTATTATCTCTTTTATTTATCATATCAGATGTACAGATGACAGTTTCTGCCGAGTGCAGTGGATTATGACAAGTATATTTCATAATGTATTCATGAAATTCAATGCAAATTAGAATCGTAGAGAAAGTTATTCATTGATAAATTGTATTCATGTATGTACAATCATAAAGAAGCTGAAACAAACAGGTAAATGGTGCAATATCATGGATCATTGGTTTTATATGACATACTTGTGGGATAGAATTTTTTTTTTCGTTTTGTAGAATTTTTGAACTATTTATATATTAAAGGTAATTCAACCATCCACAGTTGTTTAATAACCAATTCCCATTTTTCATAAATTCTGTTGTTAACAGATGACAGTAGTAAAATAATAGTAAAATCTGTTGTTCAACATCAATTTTTGAAATAGAAACCATAAATGAAATATTGCATAGTCATCATAAAATTATAGTACATCGTGATAACAAAATCACAATACAACTCGTTGCACATTGGACTTTGATAACAGTTTACCGTTACACGTGAGTGTGTAAGTGTTCACAGTTCACTGCATATGTTTGTAATGATCATGAGTACTTAGTTAAGGCTCGTTAAACATTTATGCAGGGGTTAAAATCACTGTGGTGTGTTTTTTGGGGGTACTAAAAGAATGGCAAATGGGGATGGAAAAAAAGTAGCGGTGTGTAAGAACCCCTGTAGTAAACTGCCGCCATTTAAAATGATGAATAATATACATTTATAAAGCGCAGAAACTATGCAATGTAATTTACTGTGCTGTCCCAAGACGAAAATCCAATTGAATCCCCATTGAATGTCCCCATTGAATCCAATTTGGAGTAAATGGAAAGTGAAACAATGGGTACCCATTGAAACCAATGGGGACCAATTGCCAATTGGTTCCAATGGGGACCAATTGCCAATTGGTTTCAATGGGTACCCATTGTTTCACTTTCCATTTACTCCAAATTGGGGACCAATTGCTTATTGGTTCCAATGGGGACCAATCGCCAATTGGTTTCAATGGGTACCCATTGTTTCACTTTCCATTTACTCCAAATTGCCAATTGGTATTCAATGGGGGCATTCAATGGGGATTCAATTGGTAAATCGATCCAGTTAGAAGAACCAGTGATAAATTATTGATACTTCATAATCGATATTGGCAACTGTCCACCAATTAGGTATATTCCAATCTCATTTGCATTAACTTCATCACAAAGATCATTTGAAGTGAATTCAAGAGTTTCATATACAGTGACATAGGCTTGTACAAAGATATATACTAAATATGTATATTGTTGTTTGGTTAGTAATCATATAATCAATATATAAATCAATATATCTATTGCTAAAACGTAAATGTAATTGTAACATGATCAGACAAAATAATCTATTGGTTAATAATTGCTGAAGGAATAAAGAAATCACAAAATTGATGTGCATTGTCATAATTTGCTTAACAAATCATGATAAATTTATTTTTCTGTGACACGTGTAAAGTGATAATGAATATTCATGAGATGCCTAGATTTGTTGGTTTCAATTGGCCAATTGGTTTCAATGGGACCAATTGAAGTCCAAATTAAGGCCAATTGGTCCAATTGAAACCAATTGGGGACCCATTAAAGTCTAATGGGGCCTAGGCCAATGGGTCCAATTTGTCCAATGGGGCCAATCCGGACCAATTGAAAGCAATTGGGGACCCATTAAAGTCTAATGGGGCCTAGGCCAATGGGGCCAATGGGGCCAATGGGGCCAATCCGGACCAATTGAAACCAATTGGGGACCCATTAAAGTCTAATGGGGCCTAGGCCAATGGGGCCAATGGGGCCAATTTGTCCAATGGGGCCAATCTGGACCAATTGAAAACATCTGAGGTCCCATTGAAATCTGTTAAAACCTATTGAGACCTATTGAGACCAATTGAAACCAATTGAAACCAATTGAAATTTCAATTGGTGTTCAATTGGTTTCAATTGGATTTTCGTCTTGGGGTAAGAGCTCCTGATGTGCCTAAATCTACAATATGAAGTCAAATGAAAAGATGTGCTTTTATCTTTGATTTAAAAGTACTTAACGATGGTGATTTTCTAATTTCTAACAGTAAGTTATTTCACAATTTTGGGCCTGTGCAAATAATGACTTTTACCATTATGTGAACAGGGCTGAAGAGATTGAATAGAAATACCAACAAGATTTTAGAATAGTAATAATACAATGATAATAATACAGTGGAAACTCGTCATCAAAAATGACCTCTGAAATTGCTAGATAAATGTACATGATATAACAAGGTAGTTTTCATGGTCCCAATGTTCATGTTATAATGAGTGTCCACTATATGTTGAAATAGCTTTATGGAAAATTGCACAAAATACATAGTTTGATACTGATACATTGGTAATCTAATGATCATACATGATGACTTTTATTAAATACATTGTATTGGATATTATGATATGAAACAACAGTGTATCAAACATTCATTCTCTACCTTGCTTTTGATACCTCTACCTTGCTTTGAATAGTTCTATTTTTCTTATTATATTCATGTTGTTGCTAGTATTATTAGAATTTAGTTCAGTCAGATATATTCTGGATAGTTTTGTTCATTAAATGTATTATATATTTTCTTCAGTGCAATAGTATAGATAGAAATATATTCATATTTTAACACTAGAATGCATATTTTCTTGTAGATTCATACAAATAGTTGCCTAATCTACAATCACCAATAATGCAGTACAAAGTTTAAATTGGCAGTCTAACTTTGAATAAAATGTGATTATTAGTATTGCACATCATGTTCACCTGTATGTGATATTCTGCTTGACTACTACATCATTTTCCGTAACAAAGCTCGTAGAGAGTTTATAAGTCAGCATGCATGTTCAGGTATTGTAAATATGATATATCAAGACACATAGATAAAGAATTGATTTGTACAAAATTCATCAAACGATTTGTGATACCTATATATTGTAAGAATTTTTTCTGAACAAATAGCAAAGCAATGACGATAACATAATTTTTTGTTGAATGTACATGAAATATGTTTGATAAGAAACCAAATACATCATGGTATTTTGTTTAATAAATCAAATTTAAAAACACAGATTTGATATCTATTGTCTTTTGTGTGTTTCTATGTTATACAGTATTGGATTTGAACATGTGTTAAGACAATAATGGTAAAGTACATTATATAGAAGAGAATAGCTAAGCTAAATATATACTGTGATGATAAAGATCACTTGTATGTGTCATATAATGACAACTATTGTGATTTTAGTTTCAGTTTTAAAGGACTGACAAAGTTCAAGCAGCAATTTCCAGATTTCAAAATTTCCTTTTCAGTAGTTACAGTAACTTTAATGTATCTGCGGTCTAAACTGAATATGTAGACTATGGAAAAGTATTATGAAAGTAAAATTGTGAAAATATATACTGTGATGATATAGATCACTTGTCGTAATGACAACCATTGTGATTTTATCTTCTGATTTAAAGGATAAAAAGTTCAAGCAACAAATTCCCAATTTTAAACTTCCATAGTAGGGAGTTGCAGAAAGTTTGATGAATCTGTGGTATTAACTAAACGAGTATTGCTTCATATAATTGCTATCGGGTAAATAAAGTAAAAGATATGTTGAAATATATGTAATTCCTGTGATTGAAAGATAGTGCTATCTGCTATGTAACTAATGTTATCATCATGCGATTACTGTGGGAAAACGCAGGAGATAACTTTCATTGATCACAGTTAATATTTTTAAACAGACATTGTAGGCTGTAAATAAAATGATTGGGCCTGCAAATAAGCTTGCATTTGAAGTAATCATCCACATGTTAATATATTCTCTACGATTCATGATGATGAATGACATCTGTCCTTGACTTCAGACCTGTCTGCTTTTGAAAGAAACAGCACAAGGAGCCGGAGTATAGTGCCGGACTTATTCTCTCCAGCAATACGGTAGCGATCTTCACTGACGTAAACCATATCGATGTGTTTAATCTGTGATTAGCAGTCAAAGGACGCCATCAACTGTCGGGACGGAATATGCCAAGCCTTGATGGTGCAGTCACGTGATGCTGTCATCAGGTAACGGTTGTCTGCTTGTCTACAGAGATCGATAGTAAAATAATGATACAATTCTGCCATTAATAAGAGAACTACAATAAATTCAATTGATTAATGTCAAATGAAAGCGGAACCATCAATAGTTATAATTAGGCCTATCTATAAGTGGCTATATTCAGCTCTCATTGTGTTTTACAATCCCTCAAAAAACAAACAAAAAAACAAAAAAAAAACAAGCAAACAGACCAACAACAACAAAAAAACCCTTAAAAATCCCCTTCTACCATCATCTGAAATAGAAAGATATCGAATTGATGTCCGGTGCTCTTTGGCTGATAGCAGACATTCTCCTGTCCCGTATTTCCATACATTTAGCATGCCCTTGCTGTCTGCTGACAAGATGACAGTGTCTGCCTGCTGCTTTGCCACTTTCACAATCTCTACAGAACCTTTATGCCCTTAAACAGGTGACGAAGCATAAACATTTATCGCATTAAACTACAATAACTGTACTTTCCTTTTAACGTAACAGGAAATTATAGGTATCGTTAAACGTGGAAATCAGTTAATTATCTTCGGTTTCGACAGCTCGTATTGATACAGGGTATAACAGGAAATTCAAATATCATATGGAAAGATGTAATTTAATTTCCAAATTAACTCGATTCTAATTATCTTTTACTCACGTAAACATATGATATTAACACAATAAAGCTCATTAGTCTTGTTCAGTTGTTCAGTAGTGGAAGAATTGTTCATAAAAGAATAGAGGTAACTTCAATGGGGTCTATCGGTTTGAACATATATCTCCTTCGATCTTGACTTTGAACAGTTAAAAGCAGAACGAAGCAAAGACTCTCATTAGCTTGTAAGAAAGTTACCTTCTGAAGTTGTCCTTTTTCTGTTGTCATAAGTGCCTTTCTTCGTCTCTGGTGAGTGCTCCTACTCAGGTGCGAGAAGTGCCCCATTTTCACCTCTGATATTATTCTTATACTGCGAGATGTGCTCTTTTTCTTTTTCTAATAAGTGCCCTTTTCCCTTTGAATATTTGCCCTCTTTTCCTTTCACCATAAAATGTGTTTCTAATTTTAAGCGACTAAAAGAAACCTTTTTTTTAAATTTCACCCAAAGGTCATTTATATACATTGAAATTGATATAATTATGTTTCTAATCACAGATCTTGTTTAGTCTTTCATGAATAGACTGTTATCAATAAATTACACGTGCCAAATGATGTAACAATTTTTTTCACAGTCAATTGACATATGCAAGAGTTTCAGTAGCTTACTATTATCCGGCTTTTATCAGATATTCTACTTTGTCACTGATAAGACCCCTTTTTTTTATAGAACAGGGAATGAATGGAAACCTGCTGTTATTCACATTCATAGAATTGTATTTACATAGTGCAACGGTGCCTATCAATAATATTGTCATATTCTTTTCTACTTTTTTTGCACTGTATGCCCGCATAATGTGAATTGTATTTAAAACTCTGCATGCATATCACTGCCAAATGCGCAGTAGTTTGAAGTTGGACTAAATGTAACTCGGCGCCTCTTTGATTGCGTCTGAAGCACAAACTGATATTGATGAATTAATCTTCTTCCGTCATAATTTTCATTATCGAAGAAGTCTCTACGTTGTCAACGTTCTTTTGGAATTTATATTACGAAGGTTTAATTAG